TCGATAGGCTACGGTTGCTGCTGGCCCATGAAGGAGTTACGTATTCCCTATGGGCGCCGGATCGCGTCCGCTACGTGATAGAGGGACAGRAGCTCACGCATCTGCGGTCGTATGKTAAGAAGGATGGTCGCTGKGCGTTTGACGTCGCAAAGTGCGTCCTTCCTTCGCCTCTGTGTAGTTAGGCACGTCGAAAATGGGGTCGCCGGCAGTAGCATCTCTGCTCGGCGACTCTTTTTTAACGATGCAGTCTGCAGGGGGTTCGCATGTAATACAGTCCATATRTTGAAAGGGATATTAGTAATCCTCCAAGGAATGCTGCTGCGTAGGCTATCATATATCCATCCCAGAATGTTAAATGGTGGTTAAGACTTTGTTAAGCCGCCCGCCAAACTCCTTTAAGAAATGCCTTAGAATGTTAAATGGTGGTTAAGACTTTGTTAAGAGACAGTTGGGTATGTGTTCCTCCTCTCTTACACATCCACATCTCTCGCATTGCTGCCTCCAGTATTCCCTGTTAGTCCATGGGACACCTTCTAAGGCATCGAAGTRGGGTAGCGTCCTACTTATCTTCCTAAAGTAGTCTATTCGATTCCTTAGGTAATCATCCTTATGTTCACAACGACTCATGAGATCCCCACACTGGTAACAATCCACTCCTTCCAGATCGTACTTCTCTGCAAAGAATTGGTATTTCTTCTCATGTTTTTTCTTATGCGTTTGAAGACGCTGGCGGCTACTAAGGACCTTAACACAGCAACTACATTCTGTTGTCCTGCGGCAAATGCCCTTCTTCGCATGTTGCTGTAGTTTCTGCAAGGTGCTGAACTCCTTATTACAGTCCTCGCAAACCTTACTGGTGGGTTTCTTCATGCAAACGCCATTGTTGACGTGGTATTGCAGTCTTTGTTTGGTGCTAAATACCTTCTTACATCTTAAGCAGTCCATATATACATAACAATATTTTAACCTCCATTTAACATTCTGGGAGGGTTTCTGAGATAGTTTCCGACCTTCCTTAACAAAGTCTTAACCACATCTTAACATCCTACATGGGATACCTCATGAAGTCCACGACGGACTCCTTGGCCCACATTGCCATCGTTACCAGCGCGCCAAATCTCTCAGAGCGCTTCAGGCCGCACATTTCCTCATATAGCTCCTTTACGAGTTCATTTAGCCGGTCTATCTCCTCCYTTTGCATCTCTACGGTTCTTTCCAAGTCTGACTTCCTTTTGACGACGTTAACCATYTCTTTAACTGCTTCCACGRGTWCCATATATACCAGGTAATATAATGAATCCAGATCACATGCCCTGCCATGCGCTGATAGTAGGCCCTACCGGCTGCGGAAAGACCCAATTCGTGGTAGAGCAGCTGCTAGGACCCTTTAGATACCGAATTGAATACATAGTGCTGCTTTGCCCCACCTACGTGAACAACCGCACCTGGACGGGTATAGGAGTAAAAGATGACGACTTCTTTGTAGATATCTTGGACCCTAACGAGATATCTGGACACTTAAAGTCCCCGCGCAGCTAGACGAAAGTAACCTTAAGGAACAACTTAACATCCTTGTGTCCTCGGGGAAGTGCAAGGAAATGATAGGTAAGGATTTAACCCACGAACAGGTTAATAAGCYGTCAGAAGAGGAAGTCAAGAAGTTCCATAAGAGGTACGAGGCCGCCCTTGCAAGTAAGACCACGGACGCCGTAGCAGACTCCGCAATCAAGTTCGCGACTAAGCTGCTTGGRCTTGCGCTCCCYATAGACGACGTGGAGCAACTACAGAAGAGCATAAGAGACGACTATGTCATCGCTCAAGAACTTAAGATAACATGCGGGTGGCTGTCTTTGAAGTGTGGTAAGTTAATGGCGGTGGCAAGTGCGGCACTTCACGTAGCTCAGCATATCGACTTGAAGGAACTGACGATGTCTTGGAAGGACTTTAAGAAGGACAAAGAAGTCGAGAGGATATTCACAACAGCACTTGCCGAGGTACCTGCGAGTGACTTATCAAGTCCTCCTCAAGTACTTGCTTAGGTCTTCCACGGGAGTTACTCAGGTCGCCTCAAGTACCTTGTCAAGTCATCCTCAAGTCACCTTAAGTTACTTTTCAAGTCCTTCAAGTCCTTAGTATAAATGAGTGAAGAGTCGAAGGCAGAGCAACCTCAGGAGGAGCAACAAATCACCAAGGCTAAGTCCCCAGGCAGAGTCGCGGCGGGAAAGAAGCTCGCAGAAATGAGCAGGAAGAACAAAGCCAAGAAGGAGGAAAAGGYGGAAGAGAAAGAAGGGGAATCCTAAATCAATTTAGGCTACGTCATTGGCGCATTAGGAGTCGTCATAGCCGCAGGCAGCCTTTACTTTCAATGGAAGGCCGCGCAACCAAAAGTGGAGTGGAAAGCCGTACATGTGACGCAGGAGCCGCCTAAGAAGAGTCGCATTCCTGACATGGATTAGATATATGGCGATACCAAAGCGTGCATTGCTAGCTGTCAGCCTTGCTGCTGGCATCGGATCAACGATTAGTCTTACCATACTTGGCGCGATTGGCAGAGGAATCCTTGGCGTGACCCTCGTGTCTGACCCAAGCAAAAGCTTCGAAAACTTTGCGAAGCTAGCTGCCACCCTTTCCACCACTACTTTTATCATTCTCTTATTGATACCTGAACAGGACCTCCTTACCGTCATTAGGAAGGCAAAAGCTTCTAAGGATATGATATAATGTTGTCTGGCATATTGAAAACCTTTGAAGAGGCTTCTATCATTACTTCCGTCGTTGCGGGCATCGGTTGGGTAGGTAGGAAAGTCATTAAGGAAGACTTTACTGACGACCCCAGTAGGAACATCGCTAACTTCGCTAAGATGACCGCTGCCGTAGCGGGCAGCATTGCCCTTAAGGACTACCTAACGAAGGAAAAGTACATCCCTAATGTATAAATGGCTACCTTAGTCGCAGGCGGAGTTATCGCAGCTTTAGCATTCACTGGAGCTAATTATGGCGGTCAGTATTTGGATAGGTTGGTCCGAGGCGACAAAAGCGGAGAATCGGCCGCTGAGAGGAAGAGACACGACTTGGCGCTGGAAAAGTATCAAAGGGACGTGGCAGCTTGGAACGAAAAAAGACAAGCTTACAGGGATTGGTTGGACAAGAACAACCAAGACAAAATGCAGGCGAGTAAAAACTTTGAAAATACGGACTACGCCTTTAAGCTCTATGCGCAAGCATACCCGGAGGCATTGACGGGGTTAACAAGGCCTCAGTTTAAGAATTACTAGCAGCCATCGAAGAAACAAAAGAACAATGAGCTGGTATTCGTAGGAGTTGGAGGGCTGGCCGGAGGCGCCGCCTTGGCGTATTTCGTCTAATATGTGATCGTCTTTTTGGAAAGCGACAAGAATAACTTTACCACGTATTTAAATCCCCCCATCAAAGCCCATGAGGTTCGGCTCATAAGTTGCTCTTCGTACAATTCTTGGTATAATTTGATCAATGGTATGGTCACCGTACTTAAAACGCCTGGCAATTATCAAGGTGATATGCTACCCGATGGACATTACACACCAATCACCCTTGCTAAGGAGCTCGCCAAACGCGGTTATACTCTCACCACAGGATTGCCACACGAAATGACCCTCAAACATAATATGTCAAATTATTCAGTAACTTTTGGAAAGTTTGACCCATTGGGATCTTTATTATGTGCCTCGGGTAAGACGATTACCAACACGGCCATACCCGTGAATTGGAAAGTCGCATCCTCTTATGAAGTCTATTGCGATTTGGTCCATAGTTACAGCAATGGAAAAACATCTTTTCTTATGTCTAAGTTTCCACCCAAAGGTCATCCATTTGACCTGGTAGAATGCACCCCCATTTCTTTGAGCTATGACTTGTCCCGCGAATTGGTAGAAGGCGTAAACATCACCATTAAAGTGGATGGAGAGACGGTGGATTTCAACGGACGCAAGATCAATCTCGTCCTGGAATTCATATAATGGGTCGAACTGAGGACAAACTTAAAAGGATTTACTATGGGCCTGAAGGCTATTGGAGAGGAGCGTCCGCTATCAAGAAACTCGCGACCGCGGCCAGGGTATCAGAAGAAACGGCTAAGAACTGGTTAAGAAAACAAACCCTCTGGCAGGCTTATCTTCCCGTGCCCAAGTACATTCCCAGATCCAGCTTCACCGTAAATGCCCCCAATGAAGTTCATCAGGCGGATTTGCTTTTCTTACCGCACGACAAGGTGAGAAAAAAGACCTATAGATACGCTTTGACCGTAGTTGATATCGCAAGCAGATACAAGGACGCCGAACCCATAACCAGCAAGGATTCTGGGGAAGTCGCAGAAGCCCTAAGTAGGATTTATAAGCGCGCTTTGAAATGGCCTAATCTGCTGCAAGTGGATGCGGGGACGGAGTTCATGGGCGTGGTTACTAAGACCCTGAAAGACCACGGCACTAAGATTAGGAGAGCCGAAGCTGAGTACCACAGGGGTCAGAGCATCGTCGAAAGATTCAATAAGACCCTGGCCGAGCGTCTCTTTGGATTCCAGTATTGGAAAGAGCTGGAAGATCCATCCAAACGCAACAGGGAATGGACTCAGAGACTCCCCCAGGTCATCACGGCTTTAAACAACGAAGTGGCCAGGGCTACGGGAATGAGACCCAAGGATGCCATAAAAAAGAAACACGTGGAACACAAGTCCTACGTCAGAAGTTCAAGGGCGGTCTTCCCCCAGGAAAAGAGAATAGGCGATGTCACGGTTCGATATCTCTACGAGCCGGGTGAATTAGAAGGAGGATCCAAAAGAGCTACGGATCCTAATTGGCCTTTGGAAACTTATCAGATCCGAAGTGCGATAGCTAAGAAGGGTCAGCCCATCTTGTATTATCTTCACGATGGTCCCACGCGTGGGTTCGTCAAAGAAGAACTGCTTATCGTGTGATGTCCGAATGCTATCGTATGGATACCATCGTCGCACATCCACCTCTTACCGTCAAATGCTGACAGTGACACCTTCTCCTGCGTAACGCTGTGTATTTGATGCCCATAGCTGCGTAGGCTGTTCATTTTATGCCGCTGCTCCTTGCGCGTACGTAATACATTCAAGTAGGACTCGTGTGTGATGTCCTTCTTAACCACGTACTTTTTTACGCCTTTTGCTTTCTTCTCCACGCCGTCCAGCTTTAACACGCTGTACATCTTTGGCTTCAGGCCTACGTATTCCACAATGGGCTTGCCTGACATCTCGTCCTTCATCTTCCCAATTACTTTCTTGTTTTTCGCGGAGTAGAGGAAGTGCTCCTTGGGGTAACCGGAGGTGTCGTACTCGTCTATGTCCTCTAGGCAGTCTTCGTAGATATCCTCCGTCTGCACTTCGAGGATTAAAGAGTCGGTGTCCGTGTACAGGAGGTGGCAGCGGTCTCCGTACTTTGGCCTTAGCTTGTCGTAGTAAAACTCGTACATGAGCAGCTTCGACAGATCCAGCACCGTAAACCCCGTGTAGACGGGTTTATTCAGGAAGAGGTTCGCTTTCTTCATATGAATCACGTAGACGTTAAGCATTTCTACGTATCTGACGAACCCTGGCTGCGACACGTACACCTCCGCTTCTTCGCGGGTTCCTGCAATCTTGATGCTAACGCGCTTGCGGATGTTCTCCATCGTCTTACCAAAGACTGAGTTGTTCTTTAGTTTGAACAGGTTCTTCTCAAAGTCGTTCTTCGCTGCTGTGCGCTTCCGGGTGTTGAAGTCGATGTAGGGCTGCATCCAGGGTTCCTGCGTAAATTTCAACACGCGGTGGATCCTTTTGACGCGTAAGCCGTGTCGCACATAGAACTGCAGGTTGCGGTAATGCACGACGTACTTCTCCTTGTCCATCAGGTTCATCGTCAGCCATAACGAGCCACAGCGAAAAAACTTTGCGAACAGCAGGGGTACCAGTTGMTAAGGTGTGACGTCATAATCTGGTTATATTGTGGTTTCAATATTTCAAGATCCTAATATARTTTGGCGCGAATTACGAAGTAGAACGTAGGTCAAGAATTCAACTAGCAAAGTGGCGTACTGGTCGAAAGCCTGCTGCTGGCTTGAAGGAAGGCTGTTATCCAAGGAGAAAGGGATTTCCGTAACCTGCCAGAGTTTTTGCAGCAATTTTAAGGCAAAGGAAGGAAATAGATCTTGAAATACAATAGATATCAACGAGAATAGCAGACTTTTCGATTTCCCGCCAAACTGTGTTTATGTCCTAGTCAGGCACAACAGAGTCCGAAGGTATTTCGCAAATGCCTGATAAACGCTCATGTTTAAATCTATAATTTACTTTARGTAGAACAACCCAGAGGTAAGTTTCTGATATGCGGTTCTCATGACTTTAAAGTTCAAATTTGATTTTATCTAGTATTAAAATCATTTTAGTATACATCTGTACCCGAGTGCTTCGGGCATATTGATTATGCTTAGCTGGTTCATCCAGCATGAAGTCTTGGTCAATTGTGATTTTTCAGGACCTGAGTGCTTCGGGTATATTGAACTTAACTGTTCTCTATGCTTAGCTGGTTTATCCAGTATGAAGTCCTGGTCGATTGTGATTTTTCAGAGCCTGAGTGCTTCGGGTATATTGAACTTATCTGTTCTCTATACTTAGCTGGTTCATCCAGTATGAAGTCCTGGTCAATTGTGATTTTCCAGAGCCTGAGTGCTTCGGGTATATTAAACTTATTTGTTCTCTATACTTATCTGGTTCATCCAGCATGAAGTCCTTGCCTGAGTTGGTTATTTTGTCGAACGAAATAAAAGCTTTTCGTCGTACAAAAAATGATAATTTAATTCAGGTAGATTGCAGTAAGATTTTTTTTTTTTCAAATTGTTCGAAAAACATCTAAAATATGGTATTTATTCGATGCTTAGAGAAGAAAAGAAATTATCCCTCAGGTATACCTCGAGTATGATCTGGCCACGGGGACGGCTGGGGTCAAACGTTCGGTCACGACATTATTGTATTGTATTGTTGTAGTGTTGGAATAATAGCGCATTGCAGCTATGTAAAATTTGAACTCATATCTATTTTAAATATGTTTTATCATGCCGTGAAATTAGAAAAGAAAGATGAAATCTCGAAGTATTACTATTCTTTTAACATTGCGTTACCATAAGCATTTACAAAATCTGTCATCGGAGTATCACTTATATTCAAGCAGGAATGTCTATACATTATATATACCCCCAACCCCCAACTGGTCAACTATACCCCCAACTATACCCCCAACAGATGGGCATTCTAAAAGATACCCATCTGTTGGGGGTCTTTTGGTTGCTAAGAACGTGTGGCTCGTTATGCCTGTATGGCTTGTAATTGGGGCACATTCGCTGCTGCAGCGGGGACAGCTGCGCAAAGGGTATTTCCACGGCCTCTGGTGCTAGGGGGAACTCGTTGTGGGCGTCATGCAGGTGCTCGGGGTATTCCAGGTCCACTTCCAGGATGAATCCTTTGCGGCTGTCCGGCCTCACACGCAGGTAGTAGTCTATCTCCCGTGGCTCCGCCCATTCAAAGTCCCTTACTGGTAAATGCTGCGACATTGCCCAGCCGTAAAGGTTGTTGGCGTCCAGGTAGAAGATGTAGGTGGTTGGCTTCTCCGGGTCGTGCTCTACGAGGGGATTGTTTGCTTTTGCGTAACGTCTGCTTGGCCCGCAGACGCCGCCACGAATGCCGTCTTCCAGAAACCGGTACATGTCGTACTCGGTTAGCAGATCCAGTTGTGCGTTCGTCTTCTTTAGCAGGGCGCTCCAGGAGAGTCCGGGTGCGGTGTAGAAGTTCGCGGGGTCTAACCCGTAGTATTCCATGGCCATCTTTCTGAAGCTTTGGAAAACGTCGGCAAGCAGGACAACGTCAGAGCGTAGGTAGATGTCGTGATAGTCGCCCATCGTTTGGCAGTCGTACTTCTGCCACACGTCTAACGCATGCTGGTACTCCTCGTCCTTTATACCGGATTCTGTTAAGGTGCTGTAGAAGCGCTCTTTGGGCGGTAGGGGCTCCTCGAATCGCTCCCAGGAATCCATGTACTCATATGGGTACACTCCCTTGCGTTCTGCGGCGTATTGTTGGGATATTAGGAACTCTGTGTTGTATTTAACTAAGTTTGCTAGGGAGTCCCCCATGAACTGCTGCGAGTCTAGGAACTTCAACTTGCCCACGGTTACGGACATGTAGCGCTCTTTGTTATTGGGTATACACTTGACGTCGGATCCGTCCGTGCCCTGAAGGAGCAGGTGAGAATCGTAGCCGCGGAGGTTGTGGAAGAAGACGGGGATCTCCATATCGGGGTTAACGCATGAGTTACACTTCCAGTGGACGGCGCCGATGTATTCACCCGTAACTGAGCAGTAGTCAAGCACCTTATCCATGTAGAAGTCCTCCACGAATCTCTTATTACAGTAAATGCAGTGCGTCGATGGTTTACCGGGCTTCCCTCCTTTCTTTGCGTACTTCCCACAGGAGTGCTTCTCCTAGGTATTTTCCCTCCTCGTCCCACGCAGCAGCAGTAAGGGGGACTCGCGGTCGATGTCGAAGATTTACGGGTTTTACAGGCGGTCTAAGGAACGGGTCGGCTTGGGAAATGCCCGTGTGTCGCGCGTTGAGTCCCTTACTGCTGCTATGTTGGGAATCAAAGGTAGCCGAAACGATGGGCAAGGTCGCAAATGGGGGTTAAGATATTCCTTAGATATAGATGGACACCATCACAAGCATTCGTAACAAAACTGTGCGCCGACTGCGAACTCAGGTGTTGGATCGCCTGGATGCGGACTTTGCCTTCACGACGTTTATGGAGGGA